TTACTGGTGGATGGGACGTCTTGTGAGGTCGCACGCGTAGATACCACTACCCTGCCTATTTCTGCCGTGAAGCAGTAATGCGTTTCGGCTTGAAGGGCGGGGCAGCCGTTGTAACTATACTGAGACTCATATTTTAAGGTGGGTGGTGGCATTTACATTGTAGATGTCTATGGACTCCAGTAACCACTTAACACCAGGTGGGCTGTGAGTTCGTCCACCGATCTAAACAATAAATAAAAAAATAAAAAAATGGACCGTTTTTATCTTTTTCATCTTAGGGTCTTGTGATTAAATGTCTTGTGTCTAAATTTGCACAATATTTTCCGCGTCTCAATTATGACATTTATAAATGACTAGATTTAAAAACTTAAATTTTACATTCGTTAATGTTGAACAATCACATCCCTCGGGAATATATTTTTCTCGTAAACGCAAAATTCTAGCATAATCGGTTGAATAATTAAGAACTAAAAGCCTAACAAACAAACAGACTCAGTTACGCATTTATTATAATTACCGTAATAATTAATATGACAATTTGAATTTTGACAATTATCACTTAGCGGTCCTTGCCCATGAAGTTAAGATACGTGAAGCATTAGAGATTTTAAAATGATAAACTGCATTTAAAACTAATATAGTTTTAATTTTAACTTCTGTCTATACATAAATGTAGTGGATATTTATAATTTTTTAGATTAATGTTTATGAAAAAGAGTAAAATACATACAGTTTTTGTTTTCATTATCACGATCCTCGATCCACGCATTGGTTTTTCGACAAGCTATTAAATCTCTGGAAATATCACCCGGAATATCATAATTACAGTCTTCAATAATTTATATGTATGAAAATTTGTAAATAGTAACAAAACCGTCATTAAATCTCAAACATTGGAAATAATTTTGTGGTTCTATACTTATTTAGTTTTATTTCCCTTCCTATTCGCTGGTAGCCTAAGAGGCTATTTCAGCTACGTCCGGACGGGTAGGTGAGCTCACGGGCTCAACCTAAGACAATTTGCTAAGAGTAGCCCTAGCAAGAGCAGTGCTTCGCAGAATCTAGCACCGGCTCAGAATCACGGATCGTTTGGAGCCTCTGGGTCTGCGGAGGGACTTCGGTTCCCTCTGTATTCTGTACCGTATGTTCCATGGGGAGTGCTCTGAGGAATTGTTCGAGATGATACCGGCATCTCGTTTTTACCATCGCACCGCCCGCCACCGGAGTAGAGTCCATCCATACTACCTGGAGCCACTGCGGTCATCCACAGTGCGTTTCCAGAGATCTTTTTTGCCACGTACCATCCGGCTATGGAATGAGCTCCCCTCCACGGTGTTTCCCGAGCGCTATGACATGTCCTTCTTCAAACGAGGCTTGTGGAGAGTATTAAGCGGTAGGCAAAAAAATTCGCGACCCACTGAGAAGAGCCGGCGAGAATCTTAATAGGCTGTCTTTTTCTTTTTTATTGCCCCTGTAGGCAGACGAGCATACGGCCCACCTGATGGTGAGTGGTTACCGTCGCCCATGGACTTCAGCAATGCCACGGGCAGAGCCAAACCGCTGCCTGCCGAAAATTACCGCCGCTGTCTATGGACATTTATGCATAATTCTTCTGAGAGCCAAACCAATCTATTGCTGCTCGTTATTTTTCTCATACCAAGGTAGTAAAATCTAATCTATCGTAATGCGAATTACCGAATCTTTCAAAATCTTCACTGAATTTCATTGAATTTAAAAGTCGGTTTGATTTTTTTTTTTTTCCTACCTAAGCTGAGAGCCTTGAGAGGCTATTTCAGCGTAACCCTAACTTTTGTAGGTGAGCTCACGGGGCTCAAACCTGATGACGTTGCTAACACGAACCCTAGCAAGAGCCGTGCTTCGCAGAATCTACCACCGGATCGGAAACGCGACCCACTGAGAAGATCCGGCGAGAAACTCAGTGGGCTGTGTCTGAGAGTTAATTTACTCGTCGAGCCCTTCGTCGCAAGGGACGGGTTCGACGAGAACGGTGACCGGTGCTTGAAGTACCTAGAAGCACCGTTAGTGGATCGGGAGGATCCGAGATGAGTCGGTTTGATCACAACTCAAGCGAGCTATATTCATTTTTTTTTTGTGTAAAGAACTTTAATTTCTCGTAAATAGTTTTCAGTCAAAGTCGAAATTCATTTCGGGTTTTTTTTTCATAACAAAGGTCAAAGTTCTTATTAAAATAATACATAACCAATCAAGCTTAAAAAATAATAATAAGAATATGGTATCTCAGAATCATTACTGCTACAATATTTTCGATTCCCGCTTAGTTAAAAATAAAAATGCCAAGCACGTAAACGCTTAACAATTTGACAGATCTCATGTGACAGCACGCATTAAAAACTCAACTGGCAACACCCAAATTGATCTTTATATCTGTTCGTTTAAGTGTAGAATCGTATGACCGTTTCCAATCAATCTGAGACATTCGTATATCAAACGCAGACACAGTGGCGCCCCCAAAGAGTTGTTAAATAAATTCGATTTTATTAATGTTGTTACCACAATCTTGATCGTGGCGAGGCGACGTTTAAAACTTTTATTATTTATAACACGGATTATATCTTGAATCTTAAAAAAAAAATTTAGAATTTTTCGAGTTTTTTTTTGTTGTTAAGTTTAACGTCGTTGTTTACCGAGCGACCTGGGATGCCTCACACAACACAAAATAATTATTAGCCGTTTTATAAATTGTTTACATTATTAGTTCGGTAAACAACCCTAACAAAGCTATTGAAAATTAATTTAGATTTAATATGGGTTGAACGCGTTATAAATGAATACGGCGACACAATTCTAGACCCATATTTAGCTAAATGTGTCAATAAATTTTAGATTCTATAAACATAGTACCTACTTTGCATTACGGATTCTCCCGATCGATTAAACGGTGCTTTTAGGTACCACAAGCACCGGTCACCGTCCTCGTCGATCCCGTCGCTCGACGAGCGAATTAACCTACAGATAGCCCACTGAATTTCTCGCCGGATCTTCTCAGTGGATCGCGTTTCCGATCCGGTGGTAGATTCTGCGAAGCACTGCTCTTGCTAGGGCCAGTTTTAGCAACACTCCGGTTTGAGCCCCGTGAGCTCAAATCACGCTACACGTCAAGGAGAAGCTGAAATAGCCTCTTAAGGCTATCAGCATAGGTAGGAAATAAAGTACCTACTTATATCATAGGCAAGCAGACACCAACATACAAAACAAAATAGTTATAATTTGCGCGCCAATTTTTTAAAGGAGTGTTCTTCGACTTTCTCCCGCTTTTTTATAAAGAACTCGCTGACCCGGCAGACTTCGTAGTGCCTAAACCTAAACCTTTGTATAAAAAAACAAAAAAAAAACCAAAAGGAATCCGTCCGACAGGGGACACATCAAAGGAAAAACAAAATTGTTTGTTTTTATATAATTCCAAGTTTTTTCATATTTATTCACCGCTTAAACCTTCTCTGGACTTCCACGAATAATTCAAGACCAAAATTAGCCAAATCGGTCCAGCCGTTCCCGAATTTTAGCGAGACTAACGAACAGCAATTAATTTATATATATATATAGATATACTTATATATATATATAGATTATTGTACCTATAGAACAAAGTCGATTTAGGCTATCAGAGCTGAGAATATCGCACCGATTTAATAAAGGGATTCTTAGAAATGCTTATACTGATATCTGTATGACATCAATATATAAAAGTATGAATCCTAATCTATTCATTGTGTATGTTGTTGAATGTTTAAGTTTTTTTAAATTTGAGTACATATATGGCTTGGATGAAGTCTTACTACTTTGGTTTTTGTTAAGGTGTTGTTTCACATTAAAATTTTTAGAGAAATAAATATTCTTCAAACATATATTCCAAGTGCATCTTAGTTGCTCCAAACTTTTACCCTTCAGTAGATTAAAGTAAGCTTTTGTCACACGATATTTTGAATCCCAAAAAAAACCTTAATGAATTTATAACATTATGGGCATAAAGTTGGATGCTTATTTGCCAAACTATTTAATTTTACATTTCATATTTTAAACAGCTCTGTATCCTAAGTTTTTTATAATGAAATAGATGTTTTCATATGAGTGTACTTTTACACTATTGTATTTTAAATACGTTTTATTTAAAAATGAAACCTCTTTAAATATTAACTAAATTACCTAAAAGACGATAGCAAAGAAAAAGGGAAAATAAAGAAATTAAATAATTTGAAGTGATTTTGAGATTTATCATGAAATTGTCTGATGACGGTCACTCGACCTCTGCGCGCCGGTCCGCTTAAGTCGACGTTACGTTTTAAACGGAGATTGATGGTGACTACGCGTAACAAGGCATAAAACGTGTATAGAGTTCTATGGGAAATGTGTCGTTAATTTGACTTCGTTATAAGCGTTATGTTTACGCTTGTTTCTTACAATGTTGAACTGTACATTACTTTCTTTAAGCATGCAATGGTTATTCTCTTCTTTAAACATGCATCTGGTGGTAGGACCTCTTGTGAGTCCGCGCGGGTAGGTACCACCACCCTGCCTATTTCTGCCGTGAAGCAGTAATGTGTTTCGGTTTGAAGGGTAGGGCAGCCGTTGTAACTAAACTTGAGACCTTAGAACTTATATCTCAAAGTGGGTGGCGGCATTGATAGACGAAATATAAATTAAAGAGATATCTGATCCAGTAAACGCTTACCGTCATCAGCACTATATTTTGGTAGTAATTAGCCAAAAGCCTAAATCCTATTAATCCACCAAAAATTAGAAAAGTTGCTACTCACATTCGAAACACTAAGATTATATTTTTGATGTAACGCTATATGTAGGTAGGTATCAGTTAGTATATTTCATTTATTAATATTTTTATTTCATAATTCACATTTCGAGCGAAGCTATTGATTTTGATCGAAATATTTATATCTATAAATAAAAACCAGGACCTTCAATTGTTTACGGTATTTAATGTTACATTCGTTTTGTTGCAGGCGAAAAGACCAAGACCCGATCCAGGCACTGATGTTTCAGATCGGTAAGTCTCTCTGATAAAATTATTGAGGACAAGCGGCCCGCACCGGCTCCGCTCGGGTCTTTAAAAAAAAATTTACCCGATATTTGACGTTGTTTTATTTTTTTAAATAAAAGAACACTTAATGCGGCATAACTATAATAGTTAGACATCTGCTGTCGCGACACTTTTTGTAAATAATAACGTGTTCTACAAAGTCGTAGTACATTCTTTTGTTCTATCATCAATAATTTTCGCAGGGCACGCGATGTAAAGAATATTTAGTATTACTGGTGGTAGGACCTCTTGCGAGTCCGCACGGGTAGGTACCACCACCCCGTCTATTTCTGCCGTGAAGCACTAATGCGTTTCGGTTTGAAGGGTGGGGCAGCCGTTGTAACTATACTGAGACCTTAGAACTTTTATCTCAAGGTGGATGGCGCCTTTACGTTGTAGATGTCTATGGGTTCCAGTAACCACTTAACACCCGGTGGGCTGTGAGCTCGTTCACCCATCTAAGCAATAAAAAAAATATTTATAAAATATTTCCACTATTCCGCTATCTATAATTTTACCAATAAAACCAAAAGTAGATAGGTACGTATCACCAATATCAATGCAGGGATATCGCGATCTTTATTTTAGTAACGTTAATAGATATAATATAAAGTAATAATTTGATCTGCAGTTTGTTTGATATAGGATGCAAAGAAGCCGTTCCCTGTGCCAAAACTTACATAATGACGTGAAGCATTTAGTGATGTATTCACGTCTATCTTAAGTATTTAATAAATATTTTTTTTTTTATCGGCAAAGCAGTCGATGAAAAATCGTAATTCGTAATTCTTTAATGCAAGCCGATTTGTTGAATCGTTTTAGTCAATCCGCGAACAAAATACTTTTAAGCGAAATTCAACACGATATAATGTCTAGTTTGTTCTAGATGGCACATTCTTAATCTATTTCACAATCGCCACTAACTTTTTTTAAGTAATAAACATTCATTTTTATCGTTCATTATTATGATTGGCAAACAAATAGTTATATTTTTTTGTAATTACACACTGTTAGACGGAATACGTCCTTTTGCGTTAAAAAAAAAACTGTCTTTGAAACGAAAAAGTTCTTCGAAACGAAGTTCCTTGTGGGACGATGCGGAGGGGTACCCTAACTGGGAAAAAACGTCCATAACGTAAGATTTTTATTAGTAATGCACACAGTGTACGACTCTACTTTGTAATAACGTACAAAAATAAACATATTTTTTTATCATTCATTGACCACGATCTCAGCGCGTTCGTTTGCGCAATACTCTAACTTTTATGCAAACAACCGTGAATGAAGTGTACCACAATAAGTTCGCACGTTACCGAATGACCGTGGGTTGTTGCGAAACCTCCAGTTTTATTTTCTTTATACCTCGAATAGAACTTTAAATTAATATTTTTATAATAAGGAACTTCGTTCTTATCCGGTGTCCCACGACACCACACATCTTTTTTTTTTAAATATAGCTTATGTACTTCAGATCGTGCATTGCATCCCCCGATGTTCTCGTCTCCCACTGTTGATCCTCGATATGAGTTAGCGCGGAGCTCTCGACACCATCCACAATGCTCTCGGCCCTTAATTTCCGTGTAATCCCTGCATTGTCGGTACACAATTGCCGTGCAAAGGGCTACTTAATAAAAGTATCACAATAAGGGCTGCCACGTGTGTATAAGTTTTTAGCACTCGGAGAGTTTATTTTGACGTTAGCTTTGAAGCACCCGTGGAACAAGGGGGAATGTTAAGTGTGTGTTTTGAGAGACGTTTTTCGTTATTACCATCGCACCGCCCGCCACTGGAGTAGAGTCCCTCCATACTACCTGGAGCCACTGCGTTCATCCCCAGTGCGTTTCCAGAGATCTTTTTTGCCACGTACCATCCGGTTATGGAATGAGTTCCCCTCCACGGTGTTTCCCGAGCGCTATGACATGTTCTTCTTCAAACGAGGCTCGTGGAGAGTATTAAACGGTAGGCAGCGGCTTGGCTCTGTCCCTGGTATAGCTGATGCCCATGAGCGACGGTAACCTTTCCCCATCATGTTGGCCATATGCTCGTCTGCATATACGGCAATAAGTAAAAAAAAAGTCATAAGTGGATAGCTGATCAGAAGATTGCATATCTAAGCGACAGTATAGCTTGACACTTCTGTTTTGTAGCTCTTTAATCTGCCGCATTGGCAGGGGTTGGATTCTTTACTGTATGGCGATGTCTTAAGTCGATGATTGAATATTTTTTTCGGTCCACTTAAACCGTAGCTTAGCAGCGGCTTGGCTCTGCCCCTGGCATTGCTAAAGTCAATGGGCGACAGTAACCACTCACCATCAGGTGGGCCGTATGCTCGTCTGTCAACAAGGGCAATAAAAAAAACTTAGTATTGGAGTGACAAAAAAAATCATTTTTTTTTAAATCGTTAAATTGTCTTAAATCTCTATTTTGATACAAAAAAACAATATGGCGGAAATGGCACAAAGTTTTTACCTGTAACAAAGCGAAGACTTAGCTCGGATACATCCCTAAAACGGCGTCACGCCTATTTCGGCTTAACAAATCATCAGGTTGTGATCAAAGGAAGTGCATCACAATAGGTGTTGTGTTACACTGTCCCGACTCCTAATCCGATGTCATTCACTGAACATTCTGTAGGTGTTTTTTTGTGTACATTTCGTTCAAGATGTTTTCGTTGTTAAATAAGTTCGTGCGAATTCAAAATCTTGGTGCGCGAGTCTTTTGCGGGAGCATGGAGGGTAGAAGTGAGGAGCACAATCTTAGTGTATTAGAAAGTGTCCGCTGAAAGAGGACCAATTAAGGTGACGCCATAGTAGCAAGTGAAAGGATTTTAAAAACAGCATCTTAAATCTCCCGCGTGGTACATTGGTTTAGTGTTAATAATCTGTTATTAAATAACAAAAAAACAAAATGTATAAAATTTACCACACCTAATGTTAGACAAGTAGACATTAATATTACTGTAAGTGGAGAGATACTGGAGTTTGTGGATTCGACAGTTTTTCTTTGTATAACAGTTGATTCCAAGCTGCAGTGGGGTTCTCACATATGCAAGTTAGCGAATAGACTTAGTTCTGCAGCGTTTGCGGTAAAAAAAATACGAACGTATACTAATGAAGATACGGCACGTCTGGTTTATTTCAGTTATTTTCATAGTGCTATGTCCTATGGCATTTTGCTATGGGGCAATGCTGCCGATGTCGAAACGATTTTCATCCTGCAGAAGAGGGCTATTCGTGCTATTTATAATATGCACACGAGGGAATCCTTGAGGGACAAGTTTAAGGAAATCAAAATTCTAACTTTAGCGTCCCAATACATTTTTGAAAATTTATTGTACGTGCGTAAAAACATTGAAGAATTCCCCAGAGTCTGCGATTTGCATAATGTGAACACTAGGAACAAACATAGGCTTGCGTTGCCGGCGGCTCGAATTAAGAAAATAAGCAACTCTTTTAGAGGCCTGGGTGTACAACTTTTCAGCAAAATCCCACAAAACGTTCAATACCTGTTCATAGATTTAAGAAAACTGTCAAGGAACGTTTGCGCAACAAGGCATATTATAAAGTTAAGGATTATCTACTAGATGGCACTACGTGCGAATGAGGCGTTCCCTCCTGGCCTTTTAATTTTTCATTATTATTCTTATTATTTTTTAATTGTATTTTTTGACTTGGTTTTTCGTTTATTGCAAATATTTTTATTTATTTAAAAAAAAAACGAGAAAAAACAAAAAAAAGCCCGCTGAGTTTGTTTTGCCGGTTCTTCTCAGGACTGTGGCTTTTTTTTGGAACCGGTGGTAGAGTTAACATTTGTTATTTATATTTTGACATTCAACAAGTGTCTTATCTTTAAGTTGAAATAAATGATTTTGAATTTGAAAAATTTGAAACCACACTCCAATTCAGCACACTTCACTCCTTTTTATTGTCCTGCCTATTCTAGTGCCCTCGAGAGGTCACACCTACTAGATTCACCAAACTAGTAGGTGAGCTCACGGGGAGATCGGGGAGACTCTTTAATCTCTAATTTTGTCTTAAAGTAACTCTTGAATACGAAGTAACTGTTGAATCTTTGTTATTTGTCTAATTTACGTGCCGTGTTTAATAGAGTAGTAATTTTTTAATTAATGTTGGCAACATTTAAGAAACATGAGTCCGTCGAATAAATGTAGGCATAATATGTGCCAGATGGTACATGTGCCAGAAACTAATAGTAGGCAGCGTCATTTACCTACTGCAAGAATTGCAATTAGCACTGTGAAAAATTTGGCACATTTATTAATAATGTATTAGGTACATACTATTAATACAAAAAAGCAAACGTTGAGTATTTGCAAATGTCAACTAAGGTCTTTCAAAAAATTTATGAATTTATTAATAATATTAAATGTATGGATACATAATTGCAATTTATAAACCCTAAACCTAAGTTTTACTGTTTTATTAGCGCCAATTTAATAATATTAATATTGCTACATGTGGCGCATAAAATATTACCAGCTCTAAAAAAATAATACGTAGAAAAAAAAAACGAAGCAACTTTTCATTTTTCACACATTCCCTAAACGCGTTCGGGAAGACAAAAAATGTAAAATTAATTGTTACGGGCACGACGTCGCTATGCTCTGGAATTAGTTAGGTTAATTAATGTTTAACATGACATTCTTTTGCGTTTTTCACGTTGCTCTGTGGATGAGATAAAAAGTAGTGGCGTCAAAAACATTTTTTTGTATATTTTTTAATTGCGTCTCTTACAATTTAAAATATTAATCGTGAGGATTTATTTACTAAAGAACAATACCCATGCCGTATTTGCCGAAAAAATTGTATTGCATTTGCTCCGTGCACAAAAAGGTGGTATTTTCATTAAAATATTTATTATAAAAATAATCATAATTACCAACTATTTATTATAAAACGAAAAAAAAAAAAAAAACTAAACTGCTTACTTAGTTTTAATCCAAGTAA